AGAAACATACACAACAGCAGTGAATTTCTCCTTGGAAGAGCTGAATTGACAACAGTATTGCCCATTGCCCCTTATTTTTAAATTAAAACAATTGCAACCAGGCCAGATCAGGGTGTCAGTATGGGAAGTGATCACAGTGCTATGTGTTGCCATTTTTAAAAAATATTTTTTATTGATTTCACAGGGGAAGGGAGAGGGAGAGTTAGGAACATCAATGATGATGAGAAAGAATCATTGATTAGCTTCTTCCTGCACACTCCCTACTGGGGATAAAGCCTGAAACCTGGGCATGTGCCCTTGACTGGAATCAAACCCTGGATCCTTCAGTCTGCAGGCTGACACTCCATCCACTGAGCCATACCAGCTAGGGCTGTGTTGCCATTTTTTTTATGTGGTTTTACCACCAGGCCACCAATATAGCACATTTATCAACCTAGGGTTCAAATCATGGCAGAGGAGATATCATCTTTTCAAAGTAGAAAACAGAAAGTTAACCAATCAACAACAGTGAGACTTGAGTATGAGGCAATCTTCAAAACCAAAGTCTGTCCTGCCATTAAGTAAAAAAATTAGCCCTAGCCAGTTTGGCTCAGTGGATACATCACTGGCCTGCAGACTGAAGGGTCCCAGGTTTGATTCTGGTCAAGGGCACACACCCAGGTTAAAGACTTGATCTCCAATAGGGGGTATACAGGAGGCAGCCAATCAATGATTATCTCTTATTAATGTTTCTCTCTCTCCCTCTCCCTTTCTCTGAAATCAATTTAAAAAAAAATTTTTTTTTTTAATTAAAACATTTCCCTTGGTGTTCTTTACCAAGTTACTTAATATATCCAAAATTTCTTCTGCCTGTAAAGCAATCAGAAAGTTCACTAAAATGCTACCTGTGAGATTGTCTTTGAAATGACATCACTTTACTTCTCAGCTTATGAAGTAATACTTAAGAGGCTCAGAAACTTCTAACTTATTCAAGAAATAGAGGCCTGGTGCATGAAAATTCACACACTGGAGCAGGGGCTGGGGGGATCCCCGCAGCCCTGCCTGCCCTCTCTCACAGGCCGGGAACCCTCAAGGGTGGGAGGTGACCTAGCGATCAGAGAAAGGTGACGCCCCATCACACCTCTGTTGCTGCCACTGCCTGAGCGTAAGCCTTGGCTGGCCCTGGTAACCTGAGCCTCAGGAGCCCTGGGCAGCTGGGCAGCCACCATCCAAGGCTTGCCTGTTTCTCGGGCCGGCCCTGGGTAGCTGAGGGGCTGAGAGGACTGGGGGACTCCAGAGTCAGGCTTGCAGAGCAGCTGAGCCCACCTGGGGACAGACACAGCCATGCCACATGCCTGCCACCCTGGTGGGGCAGAGTCGACTGGGTGCCTCTATCTTGTGGCTGTGGACTCTGCCATTTTTGAGGGTGGGGCAGTCAACTAGCACATTCCTCCTTATTGGCTGTAGGTACCGCCATCTTTGAGCTTGGGACATTCTATTAGCATATCCCCTCTTTATTGGCTGTGGGTGTGGACATCTTTGCAACAGCATGAGAGTCAATTAGCATATTCCCTCTTTATTAGATAGGGTGATGTATACACCTTTAATTGGGATGAAAGACAACTTATCTACTTGGACTTAGAGATGAAATAGCACCAAACAAAATGACTTAAAATGTAAATAAATTCTAGTACCTGTGGAATAGTGGGGAGGAGAGACAGTTTGAGAGCTCCTAGAAGGCTAGATAAAATATTCTCTGGAGGAAAGGAGAATTGTGTGGGAAATTAGGGTAGAGAAACATAAAAGATATTATAAAATTGTCCAGGATAACTCCTATTTAATAAGATCTTTATTATTCTTTGGAAATAGAGGATTTGGACTAAATCCAAAATAATTCTACCTTAAAGTAATAGTATTTGTAAAGCTTCAAATGCATTAGTTTTTTTTTTGTTTTGTTTTGTTTTTCTCCCACAATCTTCTGCATATGTAGTCATGATATCTTGCCCGCTGGCTCAGTGGTTGAGCTTGGACCTGTGAACTAGAAGATCACAGTTTGATTCCCAGTCAGGGCAAATGGCTGGATTGTGGACTCCATCCCCAGTGGGGGGCATGGAGGAGTCAGCTGATCAATTATTCTATTTCATTGTTGATGTTTCTATCTCTATCAATACAAATATATAATTTTGCTCTATATGTCTCAGTAGAAAGATATCTTTTAAACTCTTTGTACTAAAACAAAATATAAAATATTACTTGCCACTGAAGATGGCAGACTAGTTACAAAGTCTGTGACTGACCAGCACATCTTCTCGCTGACACAGTTACCAATGTCAAAGAATATATGGGCCTGAACCGGTTTGGCTCAGTGGATAGAGTGTTGGCCTGCAGACTGAAGAGTCCCAGGTTTGATTCTGGTCAAGGGCATGTACCTTGGTTGCGGGCACATCCCCAGTGGGGAGTATGCAGGAGGAAGCTGATCCGATGTTTCTCTCTCATCAGTGTTTCTAACTCTCTATCCCTCTCACTTCTGCTTTAAAAAAAAATCAATAAGATATATTTTTTTAAAAGAAAATCTGGGTGAGAAGACAGTGAGGCACTCACAAAATGCACATGCACGCAGCATCACTGAGCATCATTATTAAAAGCCTCATGGCCACATGGTTTAGTGCTTCAGAGGGAGTCTTGTTTTGTGAATTCTTTCCCCAAAAGAACATATTTTCTCTGATAAAGGGAGCCAATTTCCCTGTGGAATTTTAAAAGTGATTTCTAGTCCACTTACCTCAGAATGCGGAGATGAGTAATGGAATGAGGTGATTGTAATGGAAAAGTAAAGGCTAAGAGGGAAATGGTGCAATAAATAAAAGACATTTAAATCATTTTAAAGGAGATATAAGGAACTGGTAACAGAATTTGCCTTTCTGAAGAATGAAAATTGGGAGTGTGGGGGTAGGTGAAGGGAGATAACTTTTAATTTTTACTTTAAGGATCTTTGTTCTAACAATTTTTAATTCTATGCATGAACCATTTTTGTAATATCATCAAAGCCCCTAAAATGTACCAAGAAATATCTTAGGACATTTTTTTTGTTTTTTAAGCAGAGCTCTTACAGAACTCATTTGGATGTCAGCTGCACTCCAGAGGAGTCCCTTAGACTTTTCTTCTTAAGCTGGACATACAGCCTCTTGCACATAAAATTGTCATTCTGCTAATTTGTTTGTTGGTTTGTTTGTTTGTTTGTTTGTTTTTTAAAGGCAGAGGTGGATAGCTATTGGGTTCCTAGACCCAGGCAATACTCTGAGGGTAACAGGGTGAAAAGATGCTTCTGGCTCTGGCCGATATGTTCAGTGGTTAGAGTGTTGCCAGTTCAATTCCCAGTCAAGGGCATGTAATTGGGTTGCAGGTTTGATCCCTGACTCAGATTAGGGTGGGTGCAAACATCTCTCTTACATTGATGTTTTTTGTTCCTCTTCCTCCCTCCCTTTCACTCTCAAGAAAAAAAAAAATGGAAAGACTATTCTCAGAAAAAGAAAAGAGAAGGGAAGGGAAGGGAAGGGAAAGGAAGGGAAGGGAAGGGAAGGGAAGGGAAGGAAAGGGAAGGGAAGGGAAGGGAAGGGAAGGGAAGGGAAGGGAAGGGAAGGGAAGGGAAGGGAAGGGAAGGGAAGGAAAGTCGGTCCTCAATAATAGCACAGAGCGGATGAATTAAATGCAGAGCTGCCTCCTTCCAAAACTCTTGAGTGCAATAGTTCCACCAACGTCCAAGCTGAAGAGGCTCTTTATTTGCAGCTGAAAGCTAGGTGTCCTATGAGCCAGTGTGACGAATGTTCTGAGACTCACAGCCCTGCAGGATGAGTGAGCTTCTTGAAGAAGACCTCACAGAGCTGGGTCTCCTGGGTTTGGGAGCAGCTGTCAGTGGACACTGGGGAAGAGTCCTCATATACAGTGAAGCAAATGACGGAAGAAAGACATGTTTCTACAAAGCAGTCATTCTTTTTAAGTTGTGAGAAATTGAAAGTGAACTTTGTAAGGTAATAGCATAAAGCAAAAATATAAAAATGACTACAAAAGTCTGACTGCCTATTTATTCTGCATTTCATGTGTATAAACTATATAGCTATATAGTCTCACCGTCAAGGAAACCTAACTACAGCAATCACAGCTTCCCAGCTCTGCTTTAGCTAGCTGATCTGACCCTAAACAACAGGGCCTCTAACAGCATAAGGAAATCCCCACCCCTCACCAACCCTGCCCTTTCCGTGTTGCCTCTTCCAACGCCCTATAAACCTCACTCTTGTCCGAGATCCCTCAGGAGGAGTGACTGCTCCCTTGCTTGTGAGGCTGTGCTAGCCCAAAACATGGACTGTTTGCCCTTGACTAGAGGACAGGGAACTCGTTGCTAAATTACATTATTTTCATCATCTGGTCATGATATGATGGGGTGCTTTTACTTTTTCTGTTCTGTGCTAGTGACTAGTATTAGGGTCACTGAAGGAGGAACGCATAAGGTCAAAAGGGGTAAAGAATTATAAACTTACTAGAGGCCCAGTGCATGAAATTTATGCATGGGGTTGGGGGGAGCATCCCTCAGCCCAGCCTGCACTCTCTCCAATCAGGGACCCCTCGGAGGATGTCTGACTGCCAGTTTGACTGATCCCTGTGAGATCGGGCCTAAACTAGCAGTTGGACATCCCTCTTACAATCTGGGACTGCTGGCTCCTAACTGCTCTCCTGCCTGCCTGATTGCCCCCCAACTACCCCCCTGCTGACCTGGTCACCCCATAACTACCATCTGCCTGCCTGGTCACCCTTCAGTGGCCTCCCTGCTGGCCTGGCCATCCCACAACTGTCCCCTGCCAGCCTGGCCACCCCCTAACTGCCCCCCTGCCAGTCTGGTCACCCCCCAATTGTGCCCCTGATGGCCTGACTGGCCCTCCAATTGCCCCCCTGCCAACCTGGTCACCCCCTAACTGTCCAGAAGGAAGTCAGGCTTCCAAAGATGTCCAGTCAGGACATCTTTGGATGTATTAGCGTATTGCCCTTTTATTAGTATAGATTATTACATCTGCTAGCAGTAGGGCTGAAGCCAAAAGGGCATCAGCAGGGCAGAGTAGGGGAGCGGGATATTTATGTCTCGTATAAAGGTCAGTCAGAGTAGCCCATGGGACCAGGTGCAGGTCGGAGCCAGATGTAGACAGTCGCTGGAAACTGGGTAAGGTGATGTACTGGAAACCAATAGCCCTTCATCATGAAACCTACAATGAGAATAACAGGAAGGTCACCAGGAAGGGCAGGGGCCCCCAGCAGGACATAACGGAGCGTAAGAATGTACATGAGATTCCAGGGAGGGGTGAGAGCCCCAAGCAGAGCATAATGGAGCACAAGAAAGTGCCTAACAACTAGAATGCAAGAGGTCCTCAGAGATAGAATATGTCTTTTACTGACTTACTATTCTCACAGCATTTAATAAAATGCTTATTTACTGCATTGTTAGACTTCTACCCACCCACCGGTCCGGCCTTCATCATTTTCATTCTTTGTTTTGCTTGTTTCCTGCTTTAGATCCAATCTTCAGGCTTTTCTTTCTAGTAGGCTGTGATAAGAAAGAAGTGAATACCTACTTGCAATATTGGTGGTACCTCCTTTCCTTCAATTATTGTCACTTAAGTAATGACCTTTCAAAACTAGAAAATCCCTGCTCCTATGCACTCTTACCTTACAAAGGAAATAAAATGGGATGGTCTTCCGAGTGTTCTGCCATAGGCTGGCCCCAAACATTAGTGGTTCCGTGTGTTAGCTTCTTATCCACAGACATCTCCCCACTGGGCCATAAAGCTGAGGAAGGGGGAGCTGCCCAGATTTATCTTTAAACTAGAACAATGTACATCTGTGGTGGTGACAGCCAGGATTTGTTAAAATGGTGGGTCAGCTCAATACATGGAGTTTTTACAGTGATGGCTATTTGGAGGCAGAAACAGTACTTTACTTTGGTTTTGGGTTCTATATTTTTATTTCTATTTCAAAACTGACTATATGTATATGTAAATGTATATTATTTTATTTTTTCAGATAGGAAGGGAGAGGGAGGGAGAGACAGAACATCAATAATGAGAACCATTGATTGGCTGCCTCCTGCACGCCCCCTCCTGGAGATCGAGCCCGCAACCCGGGCATGTGCCCTGACTGGAATCAAACCTGGGACCCTTCACTCTGCAGGCTGACGCTCTATCCATTGAGCCAAACCGGCCAGGGTTGAGACTGACAATTCTTAAAAGCTAATGCGATCATCGGAATTAGTTAGTTTATTAATATTAATAATAGGAAGAGAGCAAAGGGAAGGCCAGACATGATAAGCATGGTCCTCTGGACAGCTTCACCAAGAAGCTGCAGCATCACACAGCATTGTTCCTGCTGGGGGATTCACACCCTTCCCTTCCCTGTCCAGTGCTGATTATTGTGGGGAGAAGAGTGTGGTAGGCACATGCGCAGTGAAGTCAGAGTAACTTAGGAAAGGTGCTTGCCTGTCAATCTAGCCCAGGGAACAGTGGATGGGCTAGGGGGTGGATCCCATCAGAAGAGCACAAAAAAAGCTTCAGGTTAAAACCCAGTTCCCTCTTATTCCTCCCTTGTTCACTTCTTTTTTTTTTTTTAATATATTTTATTGATTTTTTACAAAGAGGAAGAGAGAGGAATAGAGAGTTAGAAACATCAGAATCATCCATCAGCTGCCTCCTGCACACCCCCTACTGGGGATGCGCTCACAACCAAGGTACATGCCCTTGACCCGAATCGAACCTGGGACCTTTCAGTCCACAGGTGGACGCTCTATCCACTGAGCCAAACTGGCATCGGCGCTCCCTTGTTCGCTTCTTGTTCTGTTTTGCTCCATGACCTGTTCTTGCCCGTGCACTCACCTATGCTCTCCACAGCCAGGTGCCCTTCAGCATCCTGGCTCCCAGCCATGCGGGACTCCACACGCAGGACGCTGGACTGGACTGAACTTGAACTTGGAGCAGAAATTCTTGGCCGTGGCCTTCATTCCTGCCCCGCTGAAGACAAGACTGGTCTTCTTTCATGGCGAGACGGGCAGAGATGGGGCTTTGGTGGGGCGGCTTAATTTTACACCATCAATAAAGCTTCCCACAAAACCCCACCCTCCCTTGTTGGCTGCAGGAAATTATTTTCCTTCAGGAGCCCCGAGAACTCTGCTTCCACCAATATAGCAACAGAGGTGAAACGTGCTCCTGATGGTTAGCACTGCCTTCAAACTCCCAGTGTGTGGGTGCGGATGTGATCTATTCATTCAATAACCTCATTAATGGCACACAAACGGGGATGTGGGGGACACACAGCTTTCTGAAAGACACGCTAGACCACATTACCAACTTTTAGCAGTATCTGTGAAGCGAAAGAGCCTCCCTCCTTCCTCTCAGAAAAGAACCCCATCGCTTTTAAGAGCCCAAAATAAAAAAATAAATAAAAATTAAAGGGCATTTAGAGGCGGCAGCAAGGACTGTATGTTTCTAATTATTTTTCTCATTATGAAGCGCTGTTCCTTTCACACTATTCTGCGTGGGCTTTCCCCGCGCTAAGGTCAGAAGCAGTCTCACCTTGCTCTGGGAAAATAAGGATCTGAATCCCCAGCTGGAGAAAAGGAAATGTGTACCAACCATCATCGTTTGGGCAGGCCTCTGGTTTCGGATCTGACTAAAAATGTAAGCAGCAGGAAAACACAAAAGAGTCCATCCTCTGTGCTGTCTGAAGCCAGGAAGGAAGGATCCCACCGGAGAGAGCTTGCTTCTGCTCGGCTCCAAACCCGGTTTCCAGATGAAAGCGCCTGGCAGAGGTAGGGGGAAGCCCTGTTTTGGGAAGTGAATGGTCGGCTCACCTCCAAAGCTTCCCCCCCGCAGGCCTGCTTTTTCTGTTCTGCTCTGAACCAGTTTCAAGAGCAGAAGGATGTTTGTTGTTTCAGGACAGGGTGCTCTGAAGGACCCTTGGAAACCAAAGAGTCTTAAGTTCATGTTCACGCATACCAATGTCCCCAGAACGCCTCCGGCTTCCAAGGACCATTTTAAGTTGCACATGTCCTAAAAGAGCTGAGTATGTTTATCTCTTGCTCTAGCACTTGTGTTTTAAGGAAACAAAGCAACTAACGTAACATTTTAAAAACCTAGAAATGATGATAAAAAGTGAAATAAAATGGAAGATAGGATTCTAGGTATTAAAAACACTCACACATAAGAGTAAGTCTCCTATTTTTCTAGTTTGGAAATGACAGCATAAAAAAGGAAAGAATCATCCGAAGTCGGTTTGGCTCAGTGGATAAGCATCGATCTTTGGACTGAGGGGTCCCAAGTTTGATTCCGTTCAAGGGCAAGTACATTGGTTGCGGGCACATCTCCAGTAGGGGGTGTGCAGGAGGCAGCTGGTCAATGTTTCTCTCTCATCGATGTTTCTAGCTCTCTATCCCTCTCCCTTCCTTTCTGTAAAAAATCAATAAAATATATTTTTTAAAAAACAAAACAGGAAAGGATCAAGTTGTACAGGCCAGAGTGGCTCAGTTGGTTGAGCCTCGTCCTATGCAATGAAAGGTTCAATTCCCAGCCAGGACACATACCTGGATTATGGGTTCCAACTCTAGTTAGGGCACATACAGAAGACAACTAATCAATCTCTCTCTCTCTCTCTCTCTCTCTCTCTCTCTCTTCTCTCTCTCTCGTGCTTGGGTGATGATTTTTAAAAAATGTTGTCTAGGACAGAGAAAGAGTAGAAAATAAGAGAGACTCACAAAATCTAGCTAATGGAGTTGTATCTATATAAAAGAAGTAAATACTAAACTATGCAATAAAAAATTTAAAGTTTTCCACATTTTTTACCTCTTTCATGCATACCAGAATGTATATTCATATGTTAGGGTTTCTTATGAATGTGAGTGATTTGATCAGGGACAGACCACTGAGGAAATGAAGCCCAAGACTTTTCCAAAGCCTCTCATTCACCATCAGAATGTATAAACTGACCAAATTTCTGTCCAAATAACCTGAAACAATTTTATATACATGGCTTTCCCATTCTAACCTCTGAACTCTTCCTCTAGCTAATGCACTACTATGATTGATAAGGACTCTAACCAAAACCTTGTCAGACTCCTCCTCCTCCTTCCTTTCCTCCTATTGCGGGCCGCTGGCCGAGTTCAGTTTTAGCAAAGAATCCCGCTCAACCAGTTTATCCAGAGTCCCCACCCTGGTATCCATTCAAGCTCCTTGTCCTCTGCCCTTACTATCTAATCACATTCTTCTTCCCACTCACCCATGACACCTAACCAAGCCCCTCTTAGTGACTTCCCATCCATTCCATCATCCTACCCTTGTCCCTAGGGTAGTGAGTTTGTATTGTGTCTGTTTCATCTCTCTCATTTATTGCAATAGTCTTGAATAAAATCTTCTTATATCCACGCTCTACCCGGGTGTTTCCGTAATCACCCCACTTGGCAGAATCTTTCTAGCATCTTGGCTCAGGGGAACCAACTTTGATTGCAAGGAGCCAGTTTAGTACTGCAGGTAGGCAATCTGAAAAAATTCTCACATGGCTGATAAAATGAATCCAAGCCAAATTCCCTGACATGGAACTGAGGAGCAAAGACAAAATACAAGTGTAAATGCCTGGTGCAAAGGTCAGGAGAAAGTAAGGTCATAAGTTCAAGACAGTCTTTAAAGTTCAAAACCCAAATATGAAGTTATAAGGCATCAGCACGTGAGGCACAGAGAAGCATAGAAAGAAAAATAGCACAGGTTACTTCTCTGTAGGACTACTACATGTAGATGGTGGGCCAAGTATGCACCTAGGATAAGTAAAACCACTATTTGTCACATTTTCAATGTTCACCTGGAATTATAACTATCAATATTTCTGTTGTTAAAGAAATAAACAAGAGGAAAAGGAAGCCAACTGTTGCCTGCTAACTATAGTGTTCTGTGTCTGCAAATATATCTGTGCTGATTTATTTATAAGATGGAGCTTACAAATTCTAATTATAGGCAAAGCCATTCAGGACAACCGTATACCCAATAATCCAAAAGATTCCCAAAACACTGTGTCCTATGGCACCCAAATATCATGTCAGACCAGATGAAAATGAAAATCCTTTGTTTGGTAGCTTTTTCAAAGATGTTCTCTCAGCAAATGTACCTACATTGTTTTTTATGAGTGCTTCACAGAATGACCACGTAATTGCACCAATTTAGCAATCTCCTGTTAATATCAACAGCTTTAACACATGTCCAGGGTTGAAAACCATATTCATCAGAGCTAAATTATCTCGTTTTAACTGCAATTTCTTTGAATGGGGACTATTTGAGCAGCTATGTTCACTTGAAAACAGCCTTTGAAACAGCCTCAATAGAGTTGTTCAAACTGTGACTGAAATGTTTTATAAAATGTTATTTTGTGTCCAAAAGAAAACCCCTGCTTTTTAAACATTTATTTATACCACATAATTCATATGTTTTACCTGGACATTATATTCTTTGTTCTTTATTTGTTCAACAAGTATTAATATATGCTACTTTTTTTTTCTTCTTTTCTTCTTTTTCTCTCTTTATTTTTGTTGACACTTATTATAGACTAGGGGCTCAGTACACAAAAAATTTGTGCACTGGAAGAGCGGGGGGAGTCTCCCTCAGTCCAGCCTGCACCCTCTCACAGTTGAGAATCCTTCAGAGGATGTCCACCTGCTGACTTGGGCCCACTCCCTAAGGAATCAGGCTTAAGCTGGTTCCCCTCTGGCAGCCTGGGAGCCCTGGGGGGATGTCTGACTAATGGCTTAGGTCCCCAAGGGAGCAGGCCTGAACCATTAGTTGGACATTCTTAGTGCTGCCACGGAGAGGGGAGAGGCTCCCACCACCACTGCTGGGCTGGCCAGCCATGAGAGGGCTTCTGGATGAGTGGTCTCTGGGACAATTTCAAATGAACCAACATCAGAATTATGGGGCTCCCAGAAGAAGAAAGAGAGCAAGGTACCAAAAGCATATTGGAAAAAAAAATAGTGACAGAAAACTTCCCCTACCTGGTGAAAGAAATAAACTTGTAAGTCCAGGAAGTGCACAGAACCCCAAACAAAAGGAATCCAAAGAGGACCACACCAAGACACATTATAATTAAAATCCCAAGAGCAAAAGACAAAGAGAGAATATTAAAAGCAGCAAGAGCAAAGCAGGTAGTTACCTATAAAGGAGCACCCATATGTTTGTCAGGTGATTTCTCAACAGAAACCATGCAGGCCAGATGGGAATGGCAAGAAATATTCAAGGAGATGAATAGCAAGAACCTACAACCAAAAATACTCTACCCAGCAAAGCTATCAGTCAGAATCGAAGGCCATATAAAGAGCTACACAAATTTAAAAAAGCTAAAAGAGTTCTACCTGTCAGAATGGCCAACATCAACAAATCAACAAACGACAAGTGTTGGCAAGGTTGCGGAGAAAAAGGAACCCTAGTGCACTGCTGGTGGGAATGCAGACTGGTGCAACCACTGTGGAGAACAGTGTGGAGTTTCCTCAAAAAACTGAAAATGGAACTCCCATTTGGCCCAGTAATCCCACTCCTAGGAATATATCCCAAGAAACTAGAAACACCAATCAGAAAGGATATATGCACTCCTATGTTCATAGCAGCACAATCTACAATAGCCAGAATTTGGAAACAGCCTAGGTGCCCATCAGCAGATGATTGGATCCAAAAACTATGGTACATCTACACAATGAAATACTATGCTGCCATAAAAAAAGAAGGAATTCTCATCATTTGCAGCAACCTGGAGGGAATTGGAGAACATCATGCTGAGTGAAATAAGCCAATCAATGAAAGAGAAACACCACATGACGCCACTCATTTGTGGATAGTAAAGATCATTATAAACTGATGAACCAAAAGATAGATATAGAGACAATAAAGCAACAAGCAGATTGTCAAATTACAGCGGGGAGGGGAGGAGGATCTGGGGGAGATAATAGATCAACCGAAGGACTTGTATACATGCATGTAAGTACAACCAATGGACATAAAACTCTGGGAAGGGAGGGGATATGTGGGAGGGAGGGAGGGGAGGCAAAAAAAATCAATAAAATATGTAAAAATAAATAAAGAAAGAAAGAAATGATTTAAAAAAATAATAATAAAAAAAATAAAAATTAAATAGAGTTCATCACCGTTAAACCAGAATTATATGAATTGCTGAAAGGGGTTCTTTAAGAAGAGGAAGAAGATATAGATAAAAATTATGATCAACAAATACGTAACTATCAACAAGTGAAACTAAAAGCCAAGGGAATTAAAAAACCTGATGAACAACATTAACTGGTGAATATAATAGAATCAGAGATATGGAAGGGGAGTGGACTGATGATTCTCAGAGAAAAGGGGAGTATGGAGTGTGGGAAGAGCCTGAACAAAAACTGTGCACCTATGGATGAGGACAATGGGGGGTGGGGAAAAGGGAGAGGGTGGGGTGGGAACCTGGTGGAGGGGAGCAATGGAGGGGGGAAAAATGAGGAACATTTGTAATGATATAAACAATAAAGATTTATTTAAAAGAAGAAGAAGAAGAAGAAGAAGAAGAAGAAGAAGAAGAAGAAGAAGAAGAGGAAGGGTTCAGCAATCTGAAGAAATGCTGTGTGTAGATTAAGTAAGAATACAAAGATGAAAGATTATTTTGAAAGGTATTGGGGGTCAGAGGAGCTTCAGCTAAAGGAGCTAAAGTTCCAAGTTCTTTGTTCTTAGTTTTCCTTGTCTCAGGACCCCTGCTTTTTATTAACACAATATGTCTTAAGGCAGGGTGGAGATAATACACTTCAAAGGGTAGGGTACAGAAGCATTGTCAGATTGGGATATAGCCTACAGCTGTTCAGGTGATTGGCCAACAGGAGGCAATAACATGTAGATTGAGATGTCCTGAGCTATCTGGCAGTAAACAATGCCGGTTTGGGGGAAGTGCCCTTTAGCCACTCCAACAGTAATTACATATGTGACTCAGCTCTTGTTGAGCCTGCAAGTTTCATCAACCTTTTGATGAAACTCTTGTAATTATGACACATTGGAATTGGCTTCTGGC